GGCGCTACGACGATTTTAACGCTGCGCCCTGATTATTTCTATTACTCTTCATCTGAAAATGTGCGCTTGAGATCGATTGCTCACGGGAAGTTTGACGAATCCTTTTAGCTGTGCCACTTTGCGGTTCATGATGTGTCTCACTAACACGACGTGAGTGGTGGTCACACAAACAAGACACAGATACAGTAGAGTGCAAACCAAAGCACAACAGTACCGATCAGTACATACCGCGAATTGGCCGCTTTGTCTTGCACGCAGCGGTCAAATTCCACTAATCATGAAATCAATGAGACACTGGCTGGGATACCGTATAATTATGAAAGGCCGATGACAAAAAAGTGGGAACATTGAACGCTTCTATTTACTTGCAACTAGCACTGGAAGTGCTCTTTTCAGGTGTGATGTTCATGGAGTCTTTCCAATGGCACTGGCGTTTGCTGCTCGGGCAGCGTCGTCTGCTGCCGTTGACAGACTTACAGGTTGGATCCACCTGGATCAACGCTGCATCCCGCTTGCATCACGTCTTGCCGCTCACTATTTGTGTTTGCCGAAATGTAAACATAGTGGGCTCTCCATACGAATCTAATGAACTACCGACTTCACCGTACCGTCCACATCCGCTGTGCTAGCTGTGTACCACACGAACACGCCGCTTATAGCCACGTTACCTCTAGTGCAATGGCGAAAACGTGAAAAAGAACAGAGCATCAAGAGAACAAGCAGCTCCTCTGTCCTTTATCACGTCTCCACCACTGCGACAAAGTTACATTTTCAGCATCTTTAAGCACCAACTCAGCAAAAAAGCAAGTTTTAGGCGCTGCCAGCGCTGTTTGTCAAAATTTGGCGGTGCTCTCAATCTACGCAAAAACACAAAATATTGCATTTTCTAGTCAGTGTTCTCGTCAAGAAAAGGCGCTACAATCTACTCGCTTCCGCCATTTCGGCCAATGTCGTGTTCTCGGAACATCACTGTCAGCACGCTTCATGGCCTTGATAGAGTGCGTGCTCAAGCGCGATCGCTTTCTCCTGTTGTGATTTCTGGGGCCGCTAATGAGGCTGCTGTGGAGGTAGGGTCACAGAACACATTTTGGTAGAGTTCGTTGATGCGCGCGGTCCCTCCGCCGCTTTGAAGGGTAGAGATAACCGCGTCCTCTGCTACGGAGTCGGCCACTACAATGCCTTCTCCGCAAGCCGCCCATAACCACGATGGCCAGTCAACGAGTGTTGCGCGGCTACACACAGTTGGTTGGGTCAAAAGTGGGGTACTCAAACAACATGAGAGAAATACAAAGTTTTTTCACCGGGAGTGTGAAGGTCTTAGTTATATAGTCTCTAATCTTCATTTTTAATATGACATTAGCAGCTGGAGTTGTTCGAAACAGAAATCCTGTCGACGCAAGCCGCGTTAACACCTTCAATTAGCGTCTTTTTGGACTAGTCGCTAACTTTTTATATAGGTTAAAGATATGAAACACCCACACCTAAGTCACATGACCTTTCAATGTGTCTGTGTGTTGTGTGCATTTTACAAAAGTGTAAAAACAGTTTGCCATTTGCCAGCTGGCCGGAAAAAAAAGGATAAAAAGATACATGCTGTTCACGCTACCTGAGATTCTTTACTGAGCTATGGCCCCGGGGACCGAAGGTTCCGTCTTCCGAGTCTTTGCTGTTCTAGAATATCTGTTCATGTTAGGAGCGGGTCCATACGCATAGCCGAGGGTGGGTGTGATATGCCGGGGTTGGAGGTCCGGAAGAGTAATTCTCGGGCCGAGGCGAGCTCATTGCTTCTAACTCTGCAGTGGCCGGGTATCCATATCAGCTGTTTCCATTCACCCTCTGACCGTGAGGATGAGAGTTGTGTAAGAAGTCGATGCGCTATGGGGCTAATGTAGCCTTTACAAAAATTTCGGTAAGCTGCTTTTGAATCTGTTAGAACGAAGGTGGACCTTGAGTTTCGTAGGGCGACGGCGATTACTGCTTCCTCCATACTAGATGTGTCTGTGTCCTCGGGTGATATACAATCAACCACTTTTCCACAATGAATGACGCTTGCTATACATTTGCCATTCACTGGTCCAGCTGCATCGACAAGGAAGGCGCCTTCAGTATCTAAGTAGTTGCCCGTGCCAGACGTCGATGTTCGAGGAACTGAGGATGTATGTTGTGTGGTAGTGGTTTGATGATGATGTCCTGCCTCCATTCATGTGGGATACGTTGTTTTCCCCTTCTCTCAATGGGGTCTTCGATGCCAAGTTCTGATAGTGTTTTCCATCCCGTTTTAGTGATATGGCGAGGCGCGTGACTTGATTTGTGTGGTGTGCATGGAATAGTTCTAATACGGTGTTGTCGAGCCCCATTTGAAGCAGACGTTCTATGAGTGTCCATGCGGGAAGGTTCAGAGCCTTCTTGAGAGTCACACGTATGATTCTGTCTATTTTGTGCTCATCTGCTTTCAAGACCCTCAGGTAAGGAAAGCTATTCGCAACTCAAATGAACATGAGAAGGCGCTGCGGAGTTGCAGCATGGCGAATTTACGGAGGTCACCGCGTCCACTGTCGCTAACACAATTATGGAGTTTCCTGCAGTGTGATTGCAGTTCGCGCTGCTTTGTAGAAGGGGAATGGGTTGTTGACACGGAGCATCTTATATTCGTTGGCACCAATGGTCCCGCAAGCACGAGTGGCGTTCTTGAAGTGGTCGCGTTCTGTGCGTAATGTACATGGCGCACCGAGCCTCTGCGAAATTTGTTTAGATCAGGCGCCGCAGTGACCTGTAGTCCCTAGATACAATGATCATCAAATAGGTTCGAGTGAACAAATCAACAATGGTGCCTCACCTAGAAAGAAGGAATCTGATTGGTCATTCATTTTTTCCATCCAAGATTTTCAAAGATTGGCGGGGGACAGGCGAGGTCCTAAACGAATAGACGACGCATCTCGTGCCTTCGAAGCTGTGGCAGTTAGTTTTCCATCTCAATAAAGATGGGTTGTCAATGCAAAGGCAACACAGAACGGCGAGTTGTTGAAGGGAAGGTGAGCGGGAAGTAGAACGTCAAAAGGTGGAGGTTCAGGTACCGGAAGCAGCTTATACGTTGCGTTCGTAAACTTCAGATGGCCCGCCAGGCCTGTGGTATGGAGGCCGGAACTAGTAGACAGGATATCTTGGTACCTCCAGGTTCAATGTGAAGCACTGACGGCATAGACGTGCAACGTGACCTGGAATTCCGCAAAAGTAGCAGATGAGCCGGTTGTCAGCAGAACCCGTGAGATTTCCGGAGTGCGGCTGTATAGCTGGAAATGGCACAATGAACGGTCACACAGGTTGTGGGGTATACAATGACAGGCGACACGGTGGCGTTGCCGCGACGGCCGCATAAGTCAGTGGCAGGGCACCACGTCTTGGTGGAAAAGCAGACATCGGCAATGGGGACGCCTCAGAGACCTGCTCCTGAATAGCCTGTCCGATGGTTGGCATTAAGCAGTTCATTGGTACTTCGGTGGCCGGCAGATACGAGAGACACGAATGCTGTTAAGCAACCTCTTTGTGTCCATATTTTTTATCTGCACTAGCAGGTACGAACAGACAGCCGGTACGAACAGATATGCTCGAACAGCCCAGCGTCCACAACTAGAGCACACCGCTCGCACTTCCCACTGAGAGATGGTCCAACTGGTCGTTGCCTTGTGCATTCACCACAACACTCGAAATAATTCTTTATTAGTTCTCATTATTTGGCTCTCACAATGAAAAATAAGCCCTTAAATTTACACTTTTTTACTTCTTGCTAAGCAATATACAGGAAAAAAGCACATTAGCTATAGTATTCAAAAACCTTTTGAGCCACTTTTAAAAGCTGCCATTTGCAGTCAAGCAATCAATGAGTTGACGAAAATAGGTCCTTCTTAGCTCTTTTAATTGCACAAGCACACATTGCAAATGAGGTTGTGTTTCTGTGGAAAGGACCTAGAACTGACCTCCTGTGTGCGTGCGAATGTGGCGAATAAGAGTGCCTCTCACTGAAAAGGATGCATTGCAGCGATCACAGGCAAAAGGGCGCTGTCCCGTATGGATTCGCAAGTGGTCTTTTAGGTGCGTCTTCTTTGAAAAGGATACATGGCAGTGTATGCAGGAGAAGGGCCGCTCTCCAGTGTGGATGCGCAAATGCTCCGTGAGATGAGCCATTTGACTGAATGCGGCTGAACACAGCTGGCATGAGAATGGACGCTTGCCCGTGTGCTTGCGAAGGTGTCTTTCCATGTTCCCCCTTTTTCTGGTCATGTAATTGCACAGCCTGCAGGAATGCTTTTCGCTTTTCACGGACACGAGCGAAGTGTACTGCTCCTCGGATTCCATGGACGGGAAACCTGCAATGCCATCGAAAGAACAGGAAGGTATTGCAAACCACGAATCAAACTCGTCATAGAAATAGAATGCAGAAACATCGAATCAAGTTGTGAGCATGTGAGAACACTGCCCTGCTTATAACACGCTAGTAGAATAGCAATAATGCTACGAGATGACACAAATGGCTCATACACAATCCCAACTCTCTTTACATAAATACTATGCTTAATACAGAAGAATGCCTGTTGCTAATACAAAGAAGTGGCTCTGTTGTGTCACATACATCAGCACAGTGGCTTAGTGAATTAAGTGATTAGCCACTACGGTGATTTACAAATTCCTTTTTCTTTTCCAACATAGAGGTATATATAGAATACAGAGCAGCAAAAACATCACTTAATATATTTTAACAAATAAGGCATCAGAAATAAGTTTGAAATAATTTACTATACAATGATCTGGGATATATAAAAGAAAGGAAAAAAACTCACTGGTGCTTCAATAAGCCTGTGTCTCTGGTGATAAAATATGCAGGCATATATTTTTGCATGATAAGAGAATAGTTTCTACATGACTATTAGCATAGCTTATACATTTCAGAGTTAATGTTTCCATATTGCTTCAATTGAAGTGCAATGATACAAGAGAACATGGAATGCAGCTTATTCATTTATTAGGTTTCAGTATTTAAATTACCACATAAAAGAGAAGATATTTAACTTCAAGGGATACTGCAAACTTCGAGCAATGTCCAAAAATGCTGCATGTCAGTAGTTGAACCTCCCGAGAACATTTGAGCCAAATTTGAAAGCTCCAACATGTAAATGCTCCTTGTTTTGTGCACAAAGGATTTCAGGAAAAAATTGATAAAGGACGGAGTGCACACTTACAACCAGCTTATTGCTCTAATGCTAGAAATCCTATATTGCCAACTGGGTGGGCAAGGCGACGCAATAACAATGAGAAAGAGAAAGCGACAGCGTGTGCACAACACAGCATATTGACATGTTGAAATGACCCTTCAAAAGATTCCAGTATTGATTGTCTAACAAGTTGACAGACGGGACGCTCACACACGCCGTTCCTGCCTTGCAAATAAAAAACCTTCTTATATTTCATGTGCCCTCTTATCCCCCATACCTTGCCATTTAATCATGAAACATGGAGGTGTACTCCGACTTGGCATTGTGAATTGCTCAATGGCTACTTACACATCTCCGCATGTGTTGCCTGAGGCAGTCTTTCAGACAACACCGCATTTGGCCGACGTATCATCAACCACATGATAAAAAAAATGCAGAACACAACTCCAATACTACAATGTAAAAATTTTCTTTGTACGATTGTTATTACACCCAACTCTCGAAGTGCTTTCAGAATTCACTCTCTTGCAAAAGGACCCTAGCTTATTTCGTTACAATACTCACTGCTATTTTTTCACAATTCTTTTCAAGCGGTGCGAGACCTTGTGCACACACCGCATGGCAGAAACTTTCAGCTTTGGCTCGTCTCGACCTGAGTGTCGCGAACTCCTTCCCTGCTTCAAATCACTGAACAGCAACTCAGTTATGCCCGAGAGCAAATACCTGTTAAGACGGTCAATTTGGTTGTCGAAATCGCTCTCAACCTCGTGAAGCAGGACCTTGACAGGGATTCCATCATGCATGCTTTGGGTATTCCCCACTTCACAAGCTTAGAGTGGGCTGAACTTAAAGGAAGCAGGCCTTTCCGAGACAGGGAGCGCATTTCCAGCACATACATTCTGACAGGAACACAAGCTTCGTGTCTAAAGATCTAAGCTTCTCAATCTAAGAGAACTCCGTTATCAGCTCATGTAAAGTCATGTAAACAGAAAAAATGCTGAAAATCCCGTTGACTCTGTCCTGTGTCTTGCTAGTCTGCACTGTAGACCAAAAATCAAAAACATAATGGAATACCTTCGTGAGCTCATTAATAGTCCCTCCTTCTTTATTAGCCCTTCCCTGCGCAAGTTTCAGCACTCTCGCTTAAACGTAAGGAGACGAAATATCCCGGTAACTCTTCTCGTAATCCTAAAAGTCTTGTGGCAGTGAATTCATGAGCCAATGTATTGTTTTGATGAAGCCATTAAATGATTATTAAAAAAGCATTGCAGGGCCCTTTTGAGGAGTTAAATAATAATACAAATTATTTTCATTACGTGTGGAGACAAAGTGGTGAAATCTGGCATGTATATATGATTTTATATGACGATATAACTGAAATTAGTTTTAAGCTATATGTTGCAGTTTCTGTCATGCCACTGTTAGTTAACGAATGTTAAACTTTTACATAAGAATATTCACAAGGGCACAATCTGTGCTGTAGAACTCATCATTTCCGAATATTTGAATGAGCACACAAAAGTCTTTTAAATGCCCTATAATTTATTATATAGTCTTACTAACAACTCTTACAAAAAGCCAATTATAAAAATCCGTATGATGTGCCGACAAATACTAGTGGTTTCACGGCGCTGACCCTTTCGAATGTCAGGATCTAAGTGCAAAAATCAAAGGGTCATATATCTATTTGATGTAAAATGGCACATGGATGATTGACAGCAACTGCATAAAAAAAATATGGAAGCTGATAACATGAAGCTTGAAAAAAATGGAGTTAAAAAAAAAAAAAGAACTGCGAAGCAAACTTGTTCTATTGTTCACAGGAGAAATGCAAAAGTGTGGGTACTTCGAGCTACAATCTGTCCTCTCGACAATGATGCCAGGATGGCGGCACTGAGACAAGGAAAATCTGCAAGATTTTCACTTTACAAAGCAGAATTTTCATATGGTTATTGATCACAACATGCTATTTAAGTGTTTCTTAACACTGACTGCTTACTTCGCTCTATTTCACCATGACATAAGAGATGGTCCAAGGATTGCAAATAAATATAAACTGAAAAATGGATCATATGGACCGAATTTAACATTTCCATTGCCACATCCCTTCCCCAAGGGCTCTCAAGTCACTTCCAATGATTTTTTAACATTTCAAGTGAACGCACGCATTGAGTTCAGAATGCCGTCACAATCAACAGTGCCAAAAGACACAACGCTATGAGCCACAGGTGCCCCGCAAATATTAAGAAACAGTCTCTCCTCCTCACCACGCATTTCAGCAGGGAATAGCCCATGAAGTATTCGCCGTGATGTCAACTACAAGTCTGCTCATCATCTGCGAGACCTGTTTGCCTGCTTGCAGGGGTACATGCACTCGCCGCTTTTCCTTCTGGCACAACCAGAAGGACAGACGAGCCGATCAACGAAGCAGAGTGAAGAAAAGAACGAAACGAGCAAGGGCTTCTTTTGGACCAGCAAACACATTGCAATCCGCTATTACGGCACTTTTTCAAAGAAGTTTCAAAGCTACATGTTCGTTGTAGACTCGCACACAACTGCAACATTAAAACTAAATTCTAACCTCTGGGTGGTTCAGGGGCCCTTCATGACTACATAAAACTAATTATTCCAAATAAATAGGCCAGTTATACTGGAAAGCCACACTTGTAAATTATCTGTTATGTTACCTAAATGTATTCCTGTGTTAATTTGCACACCAACTTAACAAAACAATACAAAGAATTTAAACATGAAGCCTCATGCCATGAGCACATAAAATGCATCAGTGCATAGATCAATGAAAGGACATGATCAAAATGAGCCAAAAAATATTAAAAATATAAAAACAAAATAGTATTTGGGTGCATTTAAGTTCCCCTGACAGTGTCACAGTAGAGAGAAAATACATTTACTTGGTCTATGTCACTTATGACATTCTGCTGACTTGAAAGCATGATGCAGGACTACATAGACAACAGATAACAATGACTAATGAATAGTGAAGGAGACCAAGACTTCCACTGTGAACTTATTTTAAAATCATTACTGTTAACATACTGCAGAGCAAAATCATAATTCCATTCCAAGGTGCTCAGGTAATTTACACCAAAATGTTTTTCTCTCACCTGCACCTCATGAACATGTGCACTGCTAAACACTCCTAAAAAGACAAGAGTATGCACGACCAACTACCCAGCCCCCAATAATACGTTGAAAACACAGGAACAGTCCATTAATGCTGACATTTTAAACTTAAACACTGTAGACAGTGCACAAAGACAGACATTAAGAAAGACAAGTAGACAGGACAGGCACAATAATTGAGCTCATTTGGTGTACTGCTTGCTCTTTGTACATGTTTTATCACACAGCCATACTGAATTCATGAGTGCAACAACTAGACCAAACAAGAGCTTCATCAAGTGCTGTAATAATGCCAACTCTTTTCTTTACAAATTCGTAGACTAACGAGTGGAAAAGCAAATCTTCAATGTGAATTTTCCAGCAATACCCATCAAAGGCCAGAGTCAATGAACATGGCCACGTTAGCATCTCATTGTGGAATTCATAACAGTCATGCAGCTGAATGGTTCCAATGCACAGGCATTCGAGATTCATGTCCAGCAATGTCCAATGAATCCGATTCCTTGAAGGCTTCATAAAAGAACCGGAAACCTCTGCAACAACACAGAAATCACTATTAAAATCACAACAAACACAAACTTTTATACTTCGCATCAACGAGACTTGCCTGTTAAAAATTACTCATAACGAATGACATTCATGGATATTTTGTCACTGACTGGTTACTTTTTCAATAACTAATCAACCATAATTCCTTACAAAATATTACAAGCTCTAATGAATGCTACAACATTAAGCAATTGCGATTGGCAGAAAGCACATTAAAGAACACCTATTCCCCCACATGCAGCAGTACATGAGATTGAAATGTTCAGACAAGCAAATACCCGCAGTGCTCAGTACTTGTTTCTTAAATTTGAAGCAAACAATTCAACTAGGACAGTTATGGCCAGATGAGGATGGCCACATTAGATGTCTCTGACGGGAAATCAAGTAGTGACAATTTTTTTTTTCCATTTTTTTGCAGCGCTTATATGAAGTATCTTGAGCAATAAAAACATACTGTACTTTGAAGAGGATGCACACAAGCAAACTGAGCCATTGATTAAATATAATTTTGTTGATTGATTGATATGTGGGGTTTAACGTCCCAAAACCACCATATGATTATGAGAGACGCCGTAGTGGAGAGCTCCGGAGAGGAGATTTCGACCACCTGGGGTTCTTTAACGTGCGCCCAAATCTGAGCACACGGGCCTACAACATTTTCGCCTCCATCGGAAATGCAGCCGCCGCAGCCGGGATTTGAACCCGCGACCTTCGGGTCAGCAGCCGAGTACCTTATCCACTAGACCACCACGGTGGGGCAAATATAATTTTGTTAACAATGTTGTGGCACTGATATTCTTTCCTCAGGGTATGTGAATCGACTATTTGGTGTCGTAGTGTTTTCATATCAAAACGAATGTGATCAAGCTCAAAATTCTATTATACCGATCACTAATTCGCCCAAAGCTTGAGTACGCGTCCGCTATATGGGATCCCGTGCAGCAAAATTTAATTAACGCGTTAGAATCTGTTCAGAACCGCTCAGTTCGGTTCATTTGTTCTAATTATTCCCGTACTGCTAGCATATCAGAAATGAAATCTAACCTTGACCTACCCAATTTAACTGTCCGGAGGAAACTGGCGCGACTGGATTTTTTTCATAAGATATTTTTTCACAATCCATCAATGAAGCGAGACCTCATTGCACAACCGTCATACCACTCATCGCGCATTGATCATCAGCATAAGGTTGCCATTCCGTTTTGCCGCACCAAATTCTTTTCAGCAGCCTTCTTACCGAAAACAGCCGCCGATTGGAACCACCTTCCCTCTTCCGTTGTATCAATAACAGACCCTTTGTTATTCAAGACTGCAATTTCTCAGCAATGCTTGTAACTATATGCAGTTTCCATTATCTATCTTTGTCTTGTATGTGCTTGAATTCTTATACATTTTTAGTTGACTTATGTTGCCTTCCTGATTTGCGCATCTGATACTTGTTTCTTTATTTTGTCTTTTTTTCTTGTGTGTTATATATGTTGTACCCACCCCCTCTGTAATGCCCTACGGGCCCTGAGGGTATTCTAATAAATAAATAAATAAAAGACAAATTTTGAAGAACAATTGTTAAACGAAAATAAAAAGCACATCAAGGGAAGTAGAGGATGCACTGAAAGACAAATTTTAGGCTATTCTATTTGATAAAATATAAAACTTGGGAGAGAACCATTGCGATTATTGTTTGTTAATATTTCAGTTAATCTAATAACATCACAGAATGATTCACATATGCTAGTCAGTTTGCGATTGAAGGGAGCCACTGTATATGGTTACTAACTTCCTGTAATGTGAACAGTCAGTTGTCAAACCGGAGCACACGTGTGCTTTTATTTCTTAGAAGAAGAAGCTCAAAATTTTGCCTCTCTGATGTTTTGTCCTAGCTTCTTCCTGGACCTTGATTCCACCGGACGTGGTCAGCACAATGTAGCCGAACTGTCGGGACGGCAGGAGGTTGTGCGTCCACGTCTCGGTGTCCTTCAATTGGACGTAGAAGTGGGGGCTGATGAAACTGCAATTGTTGAGCAGGCTATTGAGGAAGACCACGATCTCAAACTCCTTGATGTAGCTGTGCTTCATCATGACTGTGAGTAATTGGACAATGACTTTAGAGCAAGGCCTGATGATCACATGGCGCTTGCCCCGCTTTTTGGCACTGTTGATCGACTTGGGAGTGTCAGCCAAGACATTCATGCACACCATTTAGTCTCGAGAAACGGTAGCGGCCGGGAAAAATGGACCACAAAGAAGCCAGGTGGAGGCGCATCTGTGATCTCACACGCGTGTATCATCGTCACACCACAACCAAAGCTCTAAGCAGCAAATGTTATGTTGACATTTTTGAAAGAAAGCGGGTCAATCCTATAAGTGTCTTTTAGTTCTCTTTTTTTTTTTTCTTGTGAGAGGCATGGGTTTTCGCACCCCTACACGTGGTGCAGTGAAGTGAAACTTTACAAGGTATTTGTATCATGCAAACGATTACAAGATCGTAACAATAATCGCTTTTGGCGGCCGCATAGTCGTCACAGACAATAAAAAAAAACAACTTGGGATCAAAGACGACATGAACTTGGGGCCTTTGCCTGCACGTAGGTCATTATATCACGAAGCAACACTGATGCTTCTTGATACTCTTTCGCAAAAAGCCCTAGACAAGCGTGATGTCAGGCAAGCAATCACGTTATCACATACATGTGTCATATGCAATAAATAGCTTGTATATGACATCACGGAAAGGGTCTTTCAACACACCGGTACTCCATGTCACAGCAATGTTGATGACAAATAAGCAGTGCCAGCATGATAACGAGGCAGCAGGAATGCCTCTGTGCTTGAATAACAAAAGAACATGAATGCGATGTTTCGACAACAATAATGTGACATTGCAATCGTTGCATGATACGCAATGTTGATGACAAATAAGCAGTGCCAGCATGGTAACGAGGCAGCAGGAATGCCTCTGTGCTTGAATAACAAAAGAACATGAATGCGATGTTTCGACAACAATAATGTGACATTGCAATCGTTGCATGATACATGATGAAGCTTCAACAAGGAGGTTTCGGCAACATCAGTGCAAGCCACGTGCGAGCACGCACATAGCAGGGGCACTATCTATGCAGCCCAAAATGCTCATATTGATCTTTGGTTCACTCAAAGCTCCTATGTGGACTATCCTTCCTGCCGATGGCGCCGGACCAGTTTGACAAACTTGAACACATCAAGAAAACATGCATTCCCATCGCCACAGGTCTACCGAAGTACACCAAACCCGTACAGAACAGGTCTACTCCTTCCATTAGGCGACTATGTAGAGCCTGCACTGCGAGCCGATAATGAGTGCCTCAAGATAAACCACGTGGGAAGAGCCATCAGAAACGAATTAGGTCTGAGCAAGCAAGACCAGCCTCAAATTTAACCCACCATTCCACCATCGGAAGATATTACCATGACAGACAATCGGCCACTGCCTAATCATATGAACCAAGCTTCTGAAAACCAGCAAAGGGGTTACTACGCTCAGCGGCATATTGAGTACCTCAAAAGTATGCATGAAGAAGAAGTCATCAACATCAGTGCCTCACGCACTATACATAGCGTGCACATGCGTCACGCAGCGCCCCTTCGTCACTTCCGAAATGCGCCAGCAACATGCCCGGGTACCTACCGACTCCGTCGCCCGCGTTGCCTCCTCGTGCTTGCACCCGTTTAGTTTTGCCTCACGATGCAAGTTTGCGGGTTGCTAGTGAGGCAAGCTGATTTAGAAGTCCCCGAAGAGGGAGCAGAGCTTCGGGGTGTTTCTTCGCCGAAAGTTATTACCAAAAATTGAGAACGCACATTGCGATTTTCCGAAAAGTAGCGACGTGCTTGGCTGGCGCGGACTAACAAAAAAAAACTACTTGAAGAAACTCGGTGATATTTGTGCCTTCAGGTGTAACTTCATTTCGGGTAAGTGCCATAGCCAAGCACTTACCTGCCAACAGAGATATAGCTTATTAAGATACTGTACATACAAACTTGTCCACGACCACTGCGTGCAGAATCAGAGTGTCAGGGAGGCAGTTAAAATCGTGATGGCGATTGCGGAAATTCGGGTATGGCATTGAAACAAACTGAAAATGGATGCGAAACAATATTAGTTCACTTTGAAGTATAACCCATCTGTCTGAGTTGGGGGGTCAGGATCCTTATAAATTGGTCAATCCCTTAACACGGTCTCCATCATTTTCAGGGACTCCACTGTACATTAGCGTAGAAAAAAAGTAAAATACATGGTGAAAAAGGTGTCAAATCATGTGCGAACAAAAAAAAGTGATGACCGGCATTAACACGGCACATACCACACAAAGTCTCTATCTGCCTCGAATATTTTCTTCGGCTGTTTCCACAAATTTCAATCAGAGAGGCTCAACATCAGCCCTGTTTAAACCACTTGGTGAAAAGGGGGGGGGCTGCTATTTTGGTGGCGTGGGCTGCATCAATATATTAACATTAAGATTATATCTCTTGTAAACTTGCCTAGCTCTGCCCGACACGTTTTCGATGGGAGCAGCTGCGCTTCACTCATCCACTCTTAAAATTGCGGCTCAAGAGACTTCGGGCTTTCACTTGTTCTTGGGCCACGCAATTTGTAGTGTTTGTAGTGAAAGCGCCTGATCTCCTGACCACTCTTTCCTCCGAAGCATGTGAAAGAGTACTCTGAGATACGAGCCTAGAAGTACATCTCCGGGCCACAAAGCGAGCTGAGGAGGCGGCGGCCAGGCACGGCCTGATCGCCATTCCTCTGTGAATTTTTTTTTCTCTTAAATAAAGTTGTTTCTCTCTCTGTTGTGAAAGTGAGATAACGGGCCCTCGTAGGTCGTGGCAGGCAGCCAGTGTACGTGGTGGCTGGTATACGTGTCGCACATCTTGATTTTCTGGTCTTGTATCGAGTGAACAAACAAGGCCTTCCTGATCTGATGAGCTCATTAAAGTACAACAACAAAAAACCACAATGCTTCCCTTTCAACATCGTACACAGCAACAGATGATGAGCACCCAACATACTGCGCTGCAGCAGGTGAACTGCCGTAGATACCCAGGGAGGTACTGGGCATGGCGGGAGAGGGGGACAACGACAGAAGTGACATCACATGAACACTATGTATACAAGGCTGCAACAAAGGGCCATTTTTTAACCTAAGAACAGGCAAAGCATGCTCATTCTTTACTACGCAAACTTGCTTGTTGCCCAAAGCAGCTGAAGGGTAAGCTATTTTGGAAGCTCTAGCCCTCTACAATCAACCGGGATCATCCTCAAAAGCTATTCACATCTTCACGAATTTGCAGCAAGTGCTTCGAACACTCCAAACTGGAAGAAAGGTACCAGCGTACGCCAGGTACATCCTGCGCTATTACCGCCCAACTTCAAAAGCGATCAGTCCGGGTATGAGTTAACTGAATTCCTGGACGCACCAATATACCAGGACACGAGCTAATTGGTCAACAAGCCTTGAAGCTTCATAGCAAGGAAAGACTCGGGGATGACAGCTCGAAGCAGGCTGCAACGATGACCCAAGATGAGACCATGAAAGTGACTATTGAGCGAAAATTCAGTAGTGGCTACAAATAAGGGCTAAATTAGAAGCTACAAAACACAATGTTCTGACACCAAGACTCACCCGCCTCTACGAGATTACACTCAGAAGACTACAAACACGAAACTTCACAATATTTCTGGTCCTTCGTAAGATATACCCGACAAAGTACTCTGACCCCAACTACGACTACACTTACCAGCCAGCAACGACAGAGCATATTCTCTGGGAATTTACGAATCGAGCAGAGCTGCTTATATGAAAAAAACCCTAGCTTACCCTGCATTACTGACAGCAAGACATCGAGGATATTACCAACTAAATACTTGAAGACCCACTCGTCAGAGCCAGGCTGAACTTGCGGTGCGCTACCTAATGCACGACCACCATTCCCTGCCCAGCAAAAAGAAGCCGAGCAGTTCAAGGTCACCCGAGCACTTCTTTTTTTTTCTCTCTCTCTCTACACTACCATGGTGCTGAAGCCAATAAACGAAAGCACACTGTAAGTAGCTCAATAAAGTTTTCAATCGATCAATTCAATCAATCTTGGTAAGAAGCGCACAGCTTTTACACGATAACACGAAAGAAGAGACACAAGCGCTTGTGTCTATTCTTTCGTGTTCTAGTGTGACAGTTGTGCACTTCCTACGAAGATGGATTCATACTAACTTGCCTGATATATTTGTTTATTAAGTTATAATCAATGGCCGTGGATTCGGGTATATGGCACGGTCATTCGAGTATATTGGATCATTTGTAGATAGAAGAGAGAGCGATTTTTAGCCGACGTTGAGAATTAATTGTACATTCTAGGTCGCGTGTGCGCGCGCGTTCTCCACAGCCTTGATAATCGATCGGCGGCGTTTTCTCACCATGCTTAAGAAGCGTTCGAAGACCCCTTTAAGCGCTTGTTATTGTTCCGTCTGAACGGACAGCTTGACGCAGCCGGCGCTAGAGCCGAGGAGAGTTTCACCGGCGCTTTCAACGCCAGCTCTACTGACGCACAGTAGCTAGTACGCACGGCGCGTAGGAACTAGCGAAACACAAGAAGACTGGCTTCTGCTGGAGTGACCAAGACCGGGAGGAAATGGCAGAACCTGACAACGATGAGTAACAAAAGGACGCTGGTGACACTTCCGCAAAGAGGCTGGTCGAGCCTTAAACATCCAGATGATTAGGTCAATGACACAAGTAGCAGCACTTCTTTCGATCACGATTCTTCGCTGACAGATGACTGGCGTCACGTACAACGACAACGAAGACGCATTATCGAGGAGTGACCAGGAGAAGAGCTCGAGGCGCCAGTCATCAAAACCACAAAAAGTCAGCAAGAAATGACGTGAAGTTTCCGCAGTTATCAATCTGCAACGTTTACCGTCGAAATAAAGGTCGTGCGTATTTTGTGGGCTAGACAACAAAATAAACCAGACCGTATTCTGTAAAGTAACTTTCTTTTGTTGACGATAATGGTGCTACGCATGTTTTGTCGCAGTGTATTACTGTCATTACTAGAAAAACTTATTCTTCGATGGACCGCCTGCTGGTTCACAGAACAAGCTTTGCGAAGACAGACCTCGAAGAGCGCGCGTGAATGACTTTTGTTATGCTTTTGTTGCTCATAACAAACAGAGTAAAAGTGACTCACTAGAGTCAATACCGCTCTGAAAGACTGAGTTGCAGAATTCTGTAGCCAGCAGAAGCTTTACAGCTTTATGCGCTCGTTCTCTTCTCGGCAAGGTTCTGTTTGGCGTTGCAGACTGCTGCCAAATTTTAAGCGAAAAATTTGCCCCTGTAGTTGTGGCTTCACCGTTTAGTGTCGTTTGCGGTGCATTTCGCGAGTGCGTGAGCTACGTTGGCTGAAGCACGGAGGAAGGACGAAGCACAGAGGAAGGTTTAGGAACAGAATTTACATCGAAAGGATGGGACCTTGAACGAAAGCTGCTCTGTATGTGAGCTACACTTCGAGTCTTCATGTGTTCTCGGAGAATACGTACACGTTATAAACGGCGAAAAAGTTCGCGTACCACGTAGGAGACCAGAGCTAACGCCGGACGCCGTGCCGATGTTACTGCCTTCTTATCGAAGAAAGCGCCGCATCGAAGACCTCCAAGAAAGCGGAAGAACTCGGTGGTCGAATCTACCATCTCCACGAAAACTGCAGCACCATGTGTTGACGGTGAGGCCACTGATTCAGGTTCATCGATGGACCCTTCTACCGACTACGAACCTGAGGTGGCGAACACTACAGGGACTACAGCTTCGCTGGAATGCTTACTCGAGCTTTGTTTACCTTGAATTTATATGAGCTCGATCGCACCGTATCTCGTTGATGCTGATGCTGATGACCTGTGATGGATGGCGCTTACCCACAAAGGGGGATGGGCCAAGAACCGGGCGGCAGGATACTTAAATGAAACTAAACTAAACGTGAAGCCAATCTGAAAAAGTAGCGTAAAATAATACTACCAGAAAAACAAAAATGTGTGCTGAGCAAGCGGTCAAACCATCTTTTGTTTTCGAAAGACATTACTATGAATTATAAACTAAAGATCTGAAAAGGTAGTGGTTCACTAGCATGGTAATCTTTTAGTTGCGTTGATGTAGTCAAACACAGCGGAGCATACATCCCTGTGGCAGTAACCAAATGAAGCTCCGCCAAGTGATAAAATTACTGGTAAATTTACTTGTATTCCTAGCTTTTGTAATGGGGCTACTAAAAATCTTTTTCTCTGATAAGAATAACGATGACAGAATAAAAAGAAATGTTCAATTGTTTCAATTTCGTTGCACCAAATGCATAGCGGTGACGCCTTGAGCTGAGCTTTATTAAGGTAATAATTTAGTTGTGGAACTGAACAGCGCAATCTGGTATAAGTGACCTCTAACTGGCGAGATAAACACCACTGTTTATTCCAGCAATAGCTCAAATGCTCGAAATCTTTGAAGTTATCCAAATTACCTTTTCCCCATTGCAGGCAAGCATTTCGGAACCTTAGCGCGGTTACGTAAGCCGTATCTGGCAAAACTGGAATGGTGGGCCCACCCAGGGATACTGCTGCTAAAGAGTCCGCCATTTCGTTCAAATATAATCCGCGGTGGCCTGGTACCCATAGCAAATGCAGTTTTTTTACGTTTTTCGGTACTAAATGCCGAAACGTATTCATCAGCTCTGAATTTACTGCCGCAGAAAGTGCATTACAAACTGATAACGAATCTGTAATGATCACTGCTAATGATTCGCTTGAGGGTAATTTGCGTAGGGCAAGAACAATGGCCAATAATTCTGCCATGAATACCGGGGTATAATCTGGGAGTCGAATCGAAAAGGACCAGTCCAAAGAAGGAGAGAAGATGCCAACCCCAGCCTTTTCTTTTGACACAGATGCATCAGTCGCTATGATATTGCTTATCTCTAGGTGGGCTAGATAATCTGCTAACTGGTCATTTAAATACCTATATGCCAATTGTTTCGCGTTATGAGGAAATATATCATCGAATTTTATGCTAAGCATTGACTTTAGATTGTGTATTGGACGAATATGTCTAATTTTTACATTCAGTTGCTTTAGTAGCGCTTGTGCAAATACTATTTGCGGGGTGTGTAGTCGCGACCAATGGGTTTCGAAAAATAAAGTCGGTTCTTGAATGAAAGCGTAAAATGAGAGTCTTTGGTGTGAACTGTATATCTTTAAGAATGCTTGCACAGTAAGAATTTTAAACCTATTTAGCAGAGAAGGTAGGCGAGCTTCCATATACAACACGTTGTTTGCAACAAACTTTGGTAGAACCAGACACAAACGCAACGCTTCTCTTTCCAGCAGTATTAAGGGTCTCACTTTATAGGCTGCGCTGCCAGAAAATAATACGCATCCGAATTCCATGATGGGCCGCACATAAAGTTTATATATCATTATTAGCACATCTCTTCTTAAACCCGCTTTACGGTTTGCAAGCTTCCATAGCCACCCCATGGCCCATGTTGCCTTGGAGTACACATCATCAATGTGACTTCTCCAATTTAATGTGTCATTATATATGATGCCCAAATATTTAAGGGAATTCGCCTGCGGAATGAGCTCATTACTGTACATTAACGAGATGTTGATAGGCTGCAGAAAAGAGAATGCAAGGAGCACACTTTTCTTTACGTTCAGGGTCATATGAATATTTTTAAGCCATCTTTCTATCATATTGAGATAATTTTGTAGACTCTGGTATAATAATTGAAGGTCGGTATTACTTGCGAAGAAAGCAATATCGTCCGCGTACACATATAACTGAATATCCTTAGCTGATGGAATGGAGCTTAAGAAAATGTTAAATAAAACTGGCGACAGGACGGCCCCCTGTGGTACGCCACGTGTCTGCTTATATCTATTCGATGAGTACCCATCTTTAAAGCAGTAATATTCTCTCCCTCTTAAAAACTCCGACACCCACGCAGTGATGTAGTTGGGAAAGTGGTGATATTCCATCTGTTTTAATAAAATTGAATGCTCAACCCTATCGTACGCTTTAGCCAAATCTAAAGTAACTAAAGCACAGTATTGGCGCCGACGCCGAGCCAGTTGTATTCGGCTCTCTAAATCAACATGCGCACACCATATTGAGCAACCGGATCTAAAACCAATTTGACTGGGCTTTAATATTGCGTTATTATTAATATATTTCATTATCCGGGCATTCAAAACTCTTTCAATTAGCTTAACCAGATTTGACGTGATTGATATCGGCCTTACATTGTCCAAGGCGAATCCTTTTTCCTGCTTTTTAAGAAGTGGAATCACTTTAGACAGCTTCCATTCCGCAGGTATCCAAGCTTTTGTCAAAGAAAAATTCACCAGATTAAGTACTTCAGTTGGACAAATCTCGAATATTACTTTTATCATTGAATTTGTTATCCCGTCTGGTCCTGGTGCCGAAGGAGATAAGTGCCTTATTATCTCTGCCAGCTCATCTAAAGTAACCTCCTCAAAATCCTCGCCTGCCATTGGGTTCACAATGTGCAGTGGTAGAGTTGACATAAATCTATCTTGGAGCCCTTTCGCAATATTTTCTACTAAATCAGAGAGCTCACGGGGGGAAAGAACAGAAGAGTCAATATTTTCAGCGGGTGGTAACATCTTTTGAGATCTTAAAAGTCTGAAGAGCGCTTTTTTGTTTTTAGCCCTAGAAAGATACTCATGTCGTTTCATATTATAACCATCTTTTGCTGTACTTACTGTGCGTTTGAAGTCTGCTGCTGCGAATTTATAATCACACCAATTTTTTGGACATTGGTTGACCAGCAGTTGTTTCCATGCAGCTTTCCGTTTTCTATAGCTTCTCGTGCACTCTTCAGTCCACCATGGACTAAAAGAACCTCTTGTGGCCGATTCTAATTTAAACGTTGCGTCTTTTACTGATCTTTTTAACACTGCACACAGACTCATAGCCCTAATGTCACCTTGTATGTCCTTGCGGTGATCAAAAGTAGCCCTCAAGTATTTTTCTAATTTTCTATAGTTGAGGAATGAGCGGGCCTTTTCGGCGACATGTATTCTTGGAAAGTTCAGTACAAAACTAATAGGCAAGTGGTCACTGTTAGTAGCACAGTCTAAAGTTTGCCACGAAGATATATTTAGAGATGAGCTTGAAAATGTCAAGTCAATTACAGATTTATAGAGACCTCGGACAAAAGTAGCAGATTGCGAAATTAAACAAGATAAATTCTTGTCAATAGCCCATTCCCACAATCGTTTTCCGCTTAAATCTGTTTTAAAATCCCAGGCCACATGATGTGAATTGAAGTCTCCAGTGATTAATATATCCTTTCGGCAGGCAGAGAACATATCGTCTAGACTTCGTGTGTCTTGCACCCCGGCTGGGAAATACGCATTTACAAACGACAAGGGAGAAGCGTCTGGTAATATTATGTCTACTATCAAAATTTCACAATCTGGAGTCACACAACGATAAGAGATCGTAGCTTTGTGACTAAACTTAGTTGCTATCAAGACAGCAAGCCCACCACCTCTGCTAGGTCGGTCCAATCGAAATAGCCGATAATTTTTTAGGTGAAACTTCTGGCTGGTTGAAAGCCAGGTTTCTTGCAGTGATATAATATCCGGGGAAAGTTGTGAAGAAAGGTATGATAGGTCTGTGGCTGCGGAAAATATAGATCTGCAATTCCACTGTAATATGGTTAGTGAACCTATTTTGACGACAGAACCGTCGCAGAAACTGCTTGGTCCAAAATGTCCTTTCGCAAAAAGTCTTTCTTAGACATGTTCTCAAAGAATTCTTTTTTGGATAGATACTTTTTAGATTTCGAATTATGCGAAGAGTTTTTTGATTGGGGAGATCGGGTTCGCTTCAGAGCCTTATGAGAGTCCATATCCATATCTGCACATGCTTC